GTCAAATAAATATATAAAAAATTCCTTAAATTATAAACATTTTTTAATTATTTTACGGGTCGGGTCAATGTCCAAACATATAAAATAACGCGTAGGTACCTTCTTCTTCTGTAAATAATAATATTTAACGAATAAAATAAAATCAAATAGATTATAACATTATTTATTATTTAAATTATAAAGTGATAAATATAAAAAATTCTAGATTATTGTCATCTGATCATTCCAGGGAAGGGACAGTAAAAATATAGCAATAAACATAAATTTTAGTTACCAATCGCCTCTGCAAAAAAAAATATCATACCGATGTTTTTAATAGGTACCTAATGCAATATTTGATACAAGTAATACATGAACTTTGTAATTGTGATGTAATTACCTAACTATTTGGTTTTCACTATCGCTTACCAAATTTATGAATTTGGATGTGTGAATATTAAAATTTGACTATCTATGTGCATATATTTATATAAACTTATTATTTTTTTGTGATGCCCATTTAGAGGTTATTAAATTTCCTTTATAAGGAATTCACCTTTTTTTCTATCTTCAATGTTGTTGCCGCCACAACATGATTAAATAATATTATATACGCATCATTTAAATTTAAGGTCCATGTCACTGGCACCACCCATTTTGAATTTCGGGTCAAAACCCGGGGCTTTCGTTTGTGCTCCGTTTGTGCTGGTTTGTGCAGCAAATCCCTTCGTTCGTGCTCAATCCTTTCCAAAGTTATTCGCGATTTACCCTGGGCGGTGCTGGAGACATGCTGGCACCGCCCAATTGAAATTTTAACTCAAACCGGGGCTTTCGTTTGTATTGCATTTTCTATACAAGATAAATTTTCAAAATATTTTCATTTGTTTTGAGCTGTTTTGCGGACTAAGCAATATTCGATTTTTTTAGTTTTTGTTTCTATAAATGTCAATTAAAATTTATTTGTTGGATACAAATGCTTGGAAATTTAATACAAATCTCCTATCGTATTGTTACAATGACATTTAAAAAATATCAAAAATCCTTAGTCACAGTTTTTTTTTATAAGCATTTAAAGTTCAAATTTTGACAAAAAACGGAAAAAAAACACGAAAATTAGCAAATTATTTTGAGTTCAGCTGCAATTATTTCCCGGCAATCCCGACCACTGCTGTTCGAGCTATTACACACCATACACACCCAGCTAGTCATCGTATATTTAAGACCTGTCCTAGGTGTTAGTGGTCAACAATTAGGTGTCCGAGGTGCGCATACTATTATTATTTTCTATCTTCAATGTCAAATTGTATCTAAAAATGGACATTGAAGCCATAATAGACGAAATAGTGAATACTATAATAATATAATATTGAAATTACGCACAAAATAAAATAATACATTTTAATATAAAAAATGTGTTTAAAAATACTTACCAATATCATCTGTAAAAATTATAATAATAATTAATATAGGTTATTTATTATAACTATATTAAAGTAAATCAACATGTTCAATAAAGGGACTTTTAATTTCAATTTCAACAATTCCATTGTAAAAAAAAAATTGAGAATAATTAACATAAGTTAAACGTACAATCTGCATTTTTATTATTTATAGGTTATTTATCTTCTGTGGCTTAAAATCAAATCAAACTTGAAATAATTTAAAAATAATTGGCACAATTTGATTAATACAATTTGAAATTAAATTGTAAAAATAATGATAAATATACAACGGGTATGAAAGTTTTGATTTAAAAAGTCTACTGTTTTTGTAAAATTTAGGTGACAATTTATTGTTGAGAAAATAACAGTAAGCAAAGAGTACCTCATAAAGTTATAGTTTAGTATACAAATTCACAATAAATTAAAAAACACAAAAAATACGTACTTTCTAATTGTTCTGAAGAAAAAATACAAATAGGTTTAATTGGCTTAAAATTGATTAAATATATGAAAAATATTTTATTATAATATTCATTTAAGTTACTATTATCATCAATAATAGGTTAGAAAAAGGTAATATTATTTAGTCATCAACGTAATAACTATTCATAATGTACTACTACTACACCTATAATATATTTGATTATGATTTTATTGGAATAGAGATCAATAAACTATCACAATATGATAAATTTACATGTTAGCAAAATAAATATAAATAATCATTACACATTAAAGAAATGGTTCTTTTCATTCATCTAATCACTCAATATAGAAAATTAGTAATAGTATTGTAGTTTATGAACGTAAACATAATTTATTTTAATAAATTATTTTTATTTTTGAAACAGAATATTTTACTTTGTCTTAGGTATGCCACTCAAAAACACTAATTACCACTTTTGTTTATGAAACATTTTCAAGATTTTGGTACAATTTTGTTGTAAAATTAACCGACAATAACTTTGTTTTAACTAACAACTTGTTGTTAAAGAAAATTCGTAAATTTTCGATAACATTCATATCCATTTTTTTTTTTTGGCTATTTTCTTCAATAAGACAAATTATAGAACTTACTTCCATATTTCGTAATGGCAAATTCTCCTATATAAACAAATAATATTTATCTTATACAATAAATTAGTTCGTTTCTAGTAAACCTATTTGAAGGTTATTTAATTTTGATTTTTGGAATAAACGTTATTTTCTATCTTCAATGTTAATTTTTATCTACAAGTGGACATGGAAGCCATAATGCTGGAAATAGTTAATATTATAATAAAGTAATATTTAAATTGCACGCAGAATAATAAATTTGAATAACAATTTTTTTTTTAAATATAGGATTCCCAAATTCAACTTCTAAAATTATAATTTATTTATTTATTAATTAATTACGCCAGTCGGCATTTACATAGTTGGTAATATATATATACAGGTTATTAAAAATGATAATATAAATGTAAAAATTATTGTTAATATAGATAATAATATTACATTTAATATACTAATAACTTAATAATAATCATAAAAGAGAAATAATTTAATAGTTTAATAGTTTAATACTAGGAAGTTAAACAGCATCCTAATTCTGAGTGTGGGAATAAAACTAAGATAAGAAGAAATATTATTTAGTATAAACATAATATGTTGTTTTAGGTGGTGTTAAGGAGGCGTAGCATTCTATGTATCTGATGGTAGTGGTTGTAGTTTGTTCGGTGAAATATGACAAAATATATAGAGTTGTTTCTAGTTGGATAGATGTGTGGAAGTATGGATATAGGCCTATTGTTGGAGACAAGAGAGGGGTCACCAGATTTTAAAACAGGTGCAACTGAACAAGTTTTCTTGATGATGCCTGAGCACCTAAAGAGCATAAATAAAGGAAATACAATTGAATCTCGGCAGTTGAAGAGCAGCCGCCCAGAAATACGTTAGAAAAGTTATTTTTTAAGTAGTAGAGGACAGTTAGGACATCGTCATTAGTGAAATACTTATTATAAGGAAGGTAATAGGGGTAGTTATTATTTTTGGAGAAATCTGAGAAAGAAGACTGAAAGGTGCTAAACACAGATGAAAAATATTTAGAAAATAGATTGGCAGAATAAGTTGGAGAGTCTGCTGTCTCATTATCCAATCTTAATGTACTATTAATAGTAGTATATTGATTTAACTCTTTGATAAATTTCCAAAAGGCAGATGGATTGTGCAAGAGCATTTTTCTGAGTTAAAATGTATGATTGGTAGTCAATTTTAGATAAGCTTTTACATTTTGTTCTGAGCTCTGAGAAAGAGGAGTAGTTAACTGTAGAATTGAAGAGTTTAAAAGCAGCATGTGCAAGGTTTTTATGTAATATAAGATTCTTAAGAGCAGGGGAAGCCCAGTAAGGGAATTTCGGAGAATGAAAGGTATTATTATTAACATAATACTTAATTGATTGAAGCAATGGTTGAAAATAGGGGCAGCACCAACAACTGAATACAGAGAAAAGGTAGCTTTCCAATTATAGTAACTAAGAAATCGTGATATGGTATAGTAGTAGGCACATTTAAAATCCTTTTAAGTATGAGCTTGAGACGATGAAGAAATCGGCACAATAGAAGGAATTTGATCTCTATATTTCACCATGATGTTTGTCTCACCATTTCTATGGCGGTTATGCAAATCAGTATAAATAGAACGGATAAATGCACGTTCCTTTCTTCTTCTTCTTCTTGGGTATTATCGGCCACTAGGACCATCCCGTCAAACAACCAATCCTCCATGACTCTCTGTCAGCTGCTTTTGTTTTCCAATCTGGTCCACCGTTCAGCGATTCCACGTCTTTCTTTATTAAATCTTTCCATATTAAACGGGGTCGTCCAAGGGACCTTTTCCCTTTTGGGTTCTCTGTCAATACTACGTGTAGTAGTGCGTTCTGACTACGCCATGCGTGACCCGCCCATTGTAATCTCCTACTCTGGATTATGTTTAATATGTTTGGCTTCTGAAAGAGTTCTTCTAGTTCTTTGTTTTTCCTTATTCTCCATCCCTCAGTTTCCTCGTATTTTACTGGGCCAAAGATCTTTCTTAGGATTTTCCTTTCCAAAATAATCAGTTTGTTTTCCGCCGTTTTCCTCAATGTCCATGTTTATGCTCCGTATGTAATTATGGGACGTAAAAGTGTAATATATAATTGTTGGCGCTGAAAATTATCAAATATGATATTATGCTAATCAGCTCGACGGCGACATCGTCCCCCCTCCTCCTACCGTGATTTATTGTAATTGTTATTTACCATATGTGTTTTGTTTTGTCTATATGTGATAATTATTGCTAGGTCGTTGACCTCGCGATTATCAATGTTTTTGTTTTGATTTTCGTGATATATTATTATTGAGGCCAACGCCCTTTTGTTACACACACTCTCATATTTTTTGTAACGCTCGTTCTATCCTAGTCGTTAACAAAATTATTATTGTTCCGCTATTGCAGCGTTTTTCTTGTTTTCGTGTTTTTTTACAATCTTTGTCGGGTGTACGTATTTATTGGTACACACCAAACATAAATTTTTATATGTGTACGTATTTTTTTGGTACACACCAATCTTAAAACTATTATCATTGCGGTACGTGCATCGCTACTGGAAGCCGTTACTGCAACGGCATCATCGTTATTGTTTATAATTATAATAAACGTCCAATTGTTATTATTCCAACCGTGAGTTATTAACTTATATTATTGCTCTATACTATTGTCATCAGTGGGTGACCTGATCCGGCGGCTTGTACGTACACTGTGTGCCTCACCGTAATCAAGTGCCACCTACTCCCGCGTAAGTCCGCCAGCACTCGCCGTGGTGTGTGGGAGGCCGCCCAGGTCATCATCGCGACTTCCAGGTCCGCGTAAGTCCGCCAGCAACGAACGTTATGTGAGAGGCCGCCCAGGTCGTCCAGATCACCGTCGATCCAGCTCAACCACAGCACAAGACTACGAATAGGGTTACGATAAATTTTAAGTACTGTTCCTGTTTGTTGTGAGCTCTGTGGTCATTGCACCAGACCGAATCGACCACAGAGACCACCCTCCCCATAACTAGCCTGCACCATCCTCACTCCGTCCAGTAGGTCTTTCCTATCCTCGTCGTTGTCGTCGTCGTGCGTAGAATTGCCTACCCACCAACCATCAGGCGAAAGCACCTATAGTTGCCTACCCATTCAAATAGTCGGCGCTAGTGGTGGCATTGGCCCGCCACAATCATAGTAGTTCTCGGGCGTTTCCCCGAGTGGTCCTTCGGGAATGTGTTACGTCAGATGTCTTGGCGTGCACAATAATTGTAACTTTATATCTCTCGACAGGGATCGGGACCCTAGAGACGGAGTGAGTCCGTAAAGACATTTGTTTCCCGATTGGATTCTTGCTGCCACTTCCTTATCAGTTTCATTTTTTTCGGTCAAAACAGAACCTAAATGATCGTCAATAAATTCGGCATTAAATATTTACGGTGAATAAAAATAATCTAGGCCTATTAAATCGTAGTAGAAGTGATTCTGACACTCAAGGAAGTCGAAGAAAGGGCTCGTCAGGTGGCAGATGTTGCGGACGACTGATTAGCAGAACGAGATTCAAGAGCGTTGGGCATAGGAATCCTCAAGAAAAGGAATGTGGACGAGAAGTCTAGGACGGCTATCTTGGCCGGTCCGAGAAGACATAATATAATCAAACAATAAATTATGTTAAAGGACGGTCCGGCTCATGTCTCGGCCGTCCTATGTGGCTACGCCATGTAAGCTATGTAAGGCATCGCGGAGCTCGTAGCATACGCATATACACCAGAATAGCCGAGGAAGGCATTATACGGAACATGCGAGTCGTAACCATATTATGATGTGTAATTATAAATAAACGATGCTGCATGGTGTCCAAGTAATTTGCTAAACGTGCGGCTCCCATATAGTGGCAACACACACACACACACACACACACACACACACACACACACACACACACACACACACACACACACACACACACACACACACACACACACACACACAAAAGGCTTATTAAATCCTACTGTTATAATTCAGGATATTTCTTGTAAATATTGACCAAAAACGATTATATATTGGACTCTCGCACACTTATGTCTAACCTAACCTCTGCACACACTTACAAGTCACTTTGGTGTCATCGTGCAGTGGCGTAAGGACTGCAGCCCCTTCCCCAAAACGTTAAGACAATTTAAAAATTATTTTATATATTTTTGGTATGGTATTTGCTCAAAAACTCTTACATTATTATATATATTTTAAATATTTAAAAATTTAATATAAGTATTACGTAATACTATCTGTCTGTACTAGTACGTATTTAGTGTATTATAGTATAAAAGTTGATCAGCCCCCCCCCCCTGCACAATCTAAAACTACAATTCATTTGGTATAAAATAATTAAGGTTCTAATTATTTTTAATATACTTAAAAAAAGGATTTATTTGTTAGTGACAATAATCTTACTCAAATTTTCAACTTGTTCCTTAGTTATCTCTATTAAAATATAAAAATGTAATGAAACAAAAATTATATGGACAATATCAGGCAGTTATTAACACAGTGGAAAATCGCTATGTTGTGTGCTAATGAAAAAAATATTTACTGTATTAAATATTCAGTATTTCAGGGTAATCACAAGAGAACTTTATCCGGTTATTGTTAAGGAATAGACATTTTTTGGAATTAATTTAATTGATTTGAATAACTAAGTATAACAATATTTTCTATTATTTCTTCGTCGTAATTGCTATCCTAGTATAAGATCTGTCTCTGATCTGACTTCTATCAAACCTGTCATATTGTCTATTAATATGTTTGTGTCGTAACTTACTATTATCTTCATATTACATATGATTATTTAATTATTTCATAAGTTATTTCTAAAGCTTCTATCAGTAGATACCTACTTCTGTCATTGCAATTTTCACTGCTATTGAAACTATCTTTAAAATGAACCTTTTTGAAGGATAGCATTGTTTAATTGAATAATTGTAATTAACCTTAACAGTAACTAAGGCAAATTTTTCAAATTCTTGAATTTTTTTCGTACTACTTAGATCTGTGGCGACACAAACTTCTGAATTTCAAATTAAATCCCCACAACTCTCTTACAGTAAATTACTTAATGGATATTTTTATACATAATTCAAAACTCGAATGAGTAGCAATTCGAATACACCAATTACCGTGGATCTTTATAAAACAAGTTGAATAACTCTTTTTAAAACTAATCTTATGTATTTTGATTCAGAAAAATTATCCACTGAATAATTTACAGTTGAAAAGGGAACTTCTCTTTTGTAAGCCTTGGTAAATTAATAATAATTTTAAACAGAGTTAAGTTAAGTTGATGGAAAACATGATTAGAAGCTTAAAGTTAACAGTTAACCTAACTTTTTTTAACTCAGTTAAGTTCATAGTTATGTGAACGTTTTCAATTAACTTATTAACTTAACTTAAGTTATTACCTATTTTTTTTTTAATATCTAAATAAATACCCAGAAATATGGTTTAAAATAAATAAAATCATAAATATTATTGAACACAGGAAATAGCCAATAGCTTTTCTATACTTTGAATTAAATTATTAGTTACTGAATTAATAGAATTATGTAGTAAGCACCAAAAACATACGAAATAAATACAATCTTTTGATTTATAAATAAATAAATAACTTATTTATGACCAAAATATTTTATAATATGTTCATGAGAATTGTACATTTGTGATTTGTACCTATAACAACATAATTACTTATGACTTATTAGTTATTAGTTATTAGTATTTATTAATCATTATCATTTCAATATGCCCGTATGCCGCTGTATGATATGGTATATCTTTACTTATATGATACACCTATAAATTATAATATAATATATATGATATGTATTTACTATTTAATTAAATTATTAATTAAGAATTCTGGTTAATGTAACAAGAAATTAATTTAACTATATTTCTATTTTCCTATAATTCTAGTAAATGTTTATGTAATATGCAACATCAATAATTATTTGTATTATATTTATTATTTGATTATTTATAAATTGACTTAACTTGAAGTTGTGTAAAAGTAATTCATATTTATTAAGTTTATATCAATTAAAATAAGTTAAGTGAAAAATCAAGTTAATGAAAATTAAATTTAAAAAAGTTAAGTAAAAAGTAAAAATTTACTTA